TAATANCCTGGACTTCACATACACATGGAATAGTAGTTGCAGAATACCATAGCATATATAACTCAATTCTTTCTTAAGTCTACTCAGGCGATTAGTGCTTATGACCACAGATATTGTATGTATTATATTTTTCCCGACAAATAATAATAATAAAGTTACATTTGAGCAAAATATGTATCTATTATAGTTTTTCTTGTCTGGTCATTTCGAGAACGTCCTTCATTTGAGCAGTTTGGTGGAACTGTTAAAACATTAGTTACGGCATCATCAATTTCCGGTAGAAGTTGTGGTGCAGTTTTATCATTAAAGCGAATGCAAACATTATTCAGTACTGCTGTTGCTACAATAATGTAAGGAACTGTCGTGACCTTCATTCGAATCCCCATGGATAGCACGGGAAATCTGCGCTTCCACACACCGTATGAGCGCTCAATACAATTTCGAGTTCTGATGTGCGACTCATTATACAGATTTTCTGCTCTATTTCTACAATTTAAAAGCGGCGTCAACACGACGTTCGTGTTTTCATAACCACTGTCAGCAACAATGACTGCATTTAGAAATTCCTTCGCCTCCAATCGGTAGCAAATACGCGAATTACGGAAAATCCTTGAGTCATGAACCGANTGTTGGAAATTTTTTTTTCATGCTATTTGAACATATTTTCCACAAAACTGAGTCTTTTTTGCTTTCGGTTTGATCTATACTATGCTTCTCAGTTTCTTCAATAAATTTCATTTGAAAAGAAAACAATCATAATACAAATCTTGCGTTTTCCAGCTTAATATTAATTTACTTCTCATTTTGCCACAGTTTGCTGAAAAGATCCTGATGCATAGAACCTGAGTGTAATGAAAAACATTTGCTGTGGTTGCATAGTGTTGTTGCTGCCAATGGAAAAGTAATTTAGGAAAAAAACATTACATTCGTCAAATGATATGATCTTACCGTGTTCCAATATAAATTTTTTCTTTTATTAAAGAAAAAATAAAGCAAGCAGCATCTTTGCACATACGAAATCGATCACGAAAATCAACATCATCGTAATAATGAAAATATTTTTCTTTTTCGTCGAAGAACGGTTTCTTATAGAACATCAAAATCGAAATCTCTTTCATCTGAATCTACAACATCCATTATTATTTACAAAAATTTACATTTAACACAGAAATATAAACCACTTCAAATAAAGACGCCAAGATTATTATAGCGGGGTTGCTATAGCTGTACAAACGAAATAAGTACTATTTCTTCCATTTACATTGTGCACTACAGCAACACTGTCGTAAGTCAAGAATAAGCCAATTAAATGGTAGGCTTACTTTCGGCTTAGGTTAGCCTAGATGGTGAAAATTAATAAGTCCAAAAAATGGCTTAACTAAGTTAAGTTGAGTTGGAGAAACCAGCCCTAAAGGCATTAGATGTGAATGACATTTCAATTATTTTTTTCCCAGCACCCGAAGAAAAAGTGGATGACTTCCAAATTGTCATATGCAATGTATACGTCGTAAGCATCATGTAATATTGATGCGCCTAAAAGATGCAGCGATTTCTATTCTCAAGTTACATACCTCATGACAGTACGAATGGCAATTATAATAGGGAGGTTCTAGTTTTTTAAACTATAATTTTATTTTTAACTAAGCATTACGTTTTGAAATGTACTAAGACGGTAATAACAGCGCATCGCACAGGTATTCACGGCATCACTAAAAGAAATATATGTATGTGATACTTCTATATTGCTAGTACATTTAGAGTACATTCACCAACATCAGAGTGCCGAAATATTGAAAAAAGAAAGATAGATCCGATAAGAGAATGTACTTAGAATGACAATTTTACTTTTCAAAATTCAGGAGCGGTTTCACAAATTTTTATTTAAAAACAACTCTTATGAAAAATTAACAAAAAAAAAAAATTTGTAAATCTATGAGAAGCGCTGCGGCCGTTGGTGGTGGCAGAGGATAAAAATACCAGTTAGAGAGGAAGCATAGAAGGGAATCGAATAACGAGCTTTATTGGATTTGGCCAACATATAAAATACCACACCGCTTTATGAGTAAATAAGTTTTGTCTTTGTTAGGAAAAGATCTTCTATCTTCCAATTTTTCAGATTTACAAATAACGAGGAGCATCGGAGAAATTCGTCATACCGAGCCCTAACCGCTAAAATAATGTAGGTATATATATATTTTTTTTAAATGTACTTTTTGATGCTCTAAGAGGCATTTATGCATCAAAATTAAATTTTGAAAAAAGTTGTCATACTTCATTTTCACTGTTATGATATGGCACTTCATTCTATGTAGTAGTTTACAAATATACACGTACATGGGCGTAGCCAGGTGTGGGCAGGGGGGTGATCGAGGCCCCCCCCACCAACTTTCAAATTTTCCTTATATATATATAAAATAGTACCCTGAAATGCCAGCTTAATAGGGTCGAGCCCCCCCCCCCCTAAATTTCATTCTGGCTACGCCGATGTACACGTATACTTCTACAATCACAAAAATTTTCATAGGCTGTCCTTCTTTGATTTCGAATGGAAAACTCATTGCCATCAAATTGTACTAGCATTATAACGGGTGATTTTTTTGAGGTTAGGATTTTCATGCATTAGTATTTGACAGATCACGTGGGATTTCAGACATGGTGTCAAAGAGAAAGATGCTCAGTANTCCTTTTAAGTGTTTTTCTCAATTTTTTAAACACGAAGTATACAAATATGCATATCAGAAGAAAGGGGGTTTAATCGTCTTTACAACGGTATTAATTTTTAAAAATCAGTTGGTAATTTTCTTGTTGAAAATATCTTTTTTTATAAAAAAATCTCAAATTTTTATATACGAGGTATACAAATATGCATTTCAGAAGAAAGAGGATTTAATCGTCTTGTTTGGTTTAAAATATGTTTTTATATAAAAAAGTAAGTGCGCCTGGGCCACACTGTAGAAGTGAAACTTACGTTACTTATCTATCTATACATACACACATCTGCTTTTGCTTAAGGTTATATTTTTTCGCTTTTTTTCTATCAATGTAGATCTCTACCTCTAGCACTGTTCGTTTTAATAACATTCATGTTATTCTGTTTTTCCAATATCTTAATTTTTATCTTCATACTCTATCGATATAACGTCCATCCAAATATCGATAACAAATTCGAAGACAAATTCGATAAAAATTTCAATAGCAACATCGATAATACCATTGGTAGCTAAATCGATTAGAAAATCAATAAAAATATCGATAACAAAATCGACAAATATCGATAATAAAATCAATAAATATCGATAACAAAATCGNAAAAAAAATAAGTGGGCCTGGGCCACACTGTAGAAGTGAAACTTACGTTACTTATCTATCTATACATACACACATCTGCTTTTGCTTAAGGTTATATTTTTTCGCTTTTTTTCTATCAATGTAGATCTCTACCTCTAGCACTGTTCGTTTTAATAACATTCATGTTATTCTGTTTTTCCAATATCTTAATTTTTATCTTCATACTCTATCGATATAACGTCCATCCAAATATCGATAACAAATTCGAAGACAAATTCGATAAAAATTTCAATAGCAACATCGATAATACCATTGGTAGCTAAATCGATTAGAAAATCAATAAAAATATCGATAACAAAATCGACAAATATCGATAATAAAATCAATAAATATCGATAACAAAATCGATTTATATCGATAAAAGAAACCGACAATTATGGATAACAAAATCGATAAATATCGATAACCAAATCGATAAATATCGATAACAAAATCGTTAAATNGATAAATATTGATAACAAAATCGATAAAAGAAACCGACAAATATGGATAACAAAATCGATAAATATCGATAACCAAATGGATAAATATCGATAACAAAATCGATAAATATCGATAACAAAATCGAGTTATAACGATAACAAAATCGATAAATATCGACAACAAAATCGATAACAAAATCGATAAATATCGCTAACAAAGTCGATAAATAACGGTAACAAAATCGATAACCAAATCGAAAAAATACGATAGCAAAATCGATAAATATCGATAACAAAATCGGCAAATATCGATAACAAAATCGACAAATATCGATAACAAAATAGATAAATATCGATAACGAAATCGATAACAAAGTCGATAATCGCTAACAAATAAATCGATAATTATAGACAACAAAATAGAACAGTAAAAATCGATAAATATCGATTACAAAACCGATAAAAATATCGATTATTTAATCGATAAGTATCGAGAATCTCGAAAATCTCTAAAATCCCAAAATAGTTCCCAGATTGTGTATCTGTGTCTCTCTCTATATCCTTTCCTTTATATCTTTCTTCCCCTATCTTCGTCTTTACTTTTATCGGTATACTCATCCTCTTCTTTATTTTTACTTTTATGTTTATCATTTTCTCCATCAACATATTCCCATTCACCTTTGCCCTTATATATATGTATAAGTAAAGTGTTTAAATTTACCTTGGTCTTCGTTTTTACCTTTATCTTTACACATCTTCGTTTTTGTTTTTGTTTTTATTTTTACCTTTGCCTTTATAATTTTCTTTATCTATATACGTACTCACCTTTACTTTCATTCTTGTATTGTTATTTCTAAGTGTTATCCTCTAACCTTTTATTAGCAAATTTTTGTTAAATACATACCATATGCATACACACAAGAAGTACTTGTTTCAGCCGCAACCATTTCCGTTGCTCCATTTCCGTTGCATCGTTTCCGTTGCATCATTTCCGTTGCACCATTTCCGTGTGCAATTTCCGCT